CTGTCACAAAATTTAATATATCTAACATTTATATATCTAACATTTAATATATCTAACACATATACCTCGTGGCCTGTCACAAAATTCCACCCAAGCTTCATTCCTGGAAGAAGAGTATCAGTTGGGTAATCAAAACTCTGCCACAGGAAATTCTCCGGGTTTTCATCCTCTGAATCTCTCACCACAAGATTCCCTGAATCCAACAGTTGTACCATCGGATTCTGAGCTGTTCTTGACGCATTGGTAGACCATATAGTGTCATTCTTGCCGTCAATAAGAAGTAACCGGCCAGGCTTAACGATCTTCAAGACAGCAGATGTTGTATTAGTTATGGCAGTTTCTCTGTTGGCAATCCATATTACTGTTGGAACAGGAATTTGGTTGTACCATATACCGACATATCGGTTTATGGAACCAGCAGGGATGCTGAGAAACCCCATCTTAAAGCTCCCACCAGATGAAATAATGGTGTCTCCATCTTTGAGGAGCTGAGTGGAAGTGAGTGTATCCCTTGCATGGGAAATTTTGTGCATGGAAAGCAAGAAAAGGGAGAACAAAAAATGCAGGAAAAGACTTCTCATTTTGACAACCTATCTGTTTTGCTTTTCTTGATGAAAATTTATTGTTTATAGATTGGGAGACTTTAATTCGCTAGACCTTAGAGCATCCATTCACAAACAAAGAACTTTAAAAATACAAATCACAACCTAAAATTTTAAAATTGTGCACTTAAGTTTCAACAACTGACGCACTTTAAACATACAAATCACACACTTTAAAAAGGAAAACAAAACACCTTAAGTTTCAACAACTGACACATCTTAAGCACACAAACCATGCACCTTAAAAAGAAAAAACCACGCACCTTAAGAAGGAAAACCATGCATTTAAAGCTTTAGATCGACACACTTAAGTTTAAACACCTGACGCACCTTAAGCCACACAGTACAAAAACCACTCACCTTAAGCACAAAAATCACCCACCTTAAGAAGAAAAATTACGCACTTAAAGAAGGAAAACCATGCACCTTAAATTTGACCTAGATGCAAAAAGATCGAATTGCCACCGTGCGTTTTTTTAATCACTGTTAATCCTGGACGTTGATTTAGGCAATATCAATGGCTCAAATTTAACCGCACAACTACACCTGGGAAGGCCTACTACACATGATTTAAAAAAACGCGTGGTGGCAATTCGATCTTTTTGCATTTAGGTCAAATTTAAGGTGCATGGTTTTTTTCTCTTAAGATAAGGTACGAAGGAGTTTCCAAGTGAAAAATACTGATAAATCTCAACCATTAATTCATTCAAGTCAACCGCTCTTAAAAAAAATTTGGCACCTACAATCTTCAAACGTGTACACTAGAATGTACAACAATGTGCACTGAAAGGCACCACAATGTGCACTAAAAAGGCACAAAGATGTGAAGCAATTAATAAAAACAACGTCGTTTTGATGCGCAGTGCATAATCGATTATGTACCGCGGTACACGATATAATTTGCCCTCGCTGGACAGATCAATTATACATCTAAGTTTTCCACATTAGCGGTTGGTTTAGAATTTTCAACTTCTATGGTAAGAGACCAAAGGTTCGAACCTCGGCGGCGGCAGTGTGGGAATTATGTCCAAAGTGGGCAGATTTCTTGTGCCCGGCATTTAGTTCTGTCTACTAACCCATTGAGTCACCGTGATTTACATCCTCCCACATACTCTGTCCGATCAGAGTTTGGGACCCTTAGGGTTGAGAATTTCAGCCTTTTGGGGTAAGAATTTTCAACTTCTTAGACTGTGTCAGCTATGTGAATTATCCTCCGCAAGATGCACTATCACCGTAACTCAAGTTTTCCGGATTAGCTAATGGTTTAGAATTTTCAACTTAGACTTTGTGTCAGCTATGTGAATTATCCTCCACAAGAGGCACTATCACCGTAACTCTTAACCGATCAGAGCTTGACCTTGACCCTGACCCTAACTAGGGGCAAATTATTCTGTTGACCTGGGCCCACATTGACACAATTTATTTATATATTTAATGCTCACAATACATATTGAATATTCACAATTTTTATATCCTGAATGTTCACAATTTACATATTAAATGTTCACAGTTTTACATACTGAATGTTCACAATTTGAATTGTGAACATTCAGTATGTAAATTGTGAACATTCATCAGTATATAAATTGTGTATTTTGACTCAGGTCCACCTTGTAATGTGGACCAGAGTCCATAGCATAACTGTTGGAATTGTTATGCCGTGGAACTGTGTCCACATTGCAATGTGGACACGGTTCTATGTTGATAATTACTGAACTCTATGTTTATAATTATAAAACTTTATGTTCATAATTTTTGAACTTCATATTCACAATAATTGAACTCTATATTCACAATTACAGAACACTATGTTCATAATTACTGAACTCTATGTTCACAATTATAAAATTCTATGTTCATAATCTTTGAACTTCATATTCACAATTATTGAACTCTATATTCACAATTACAGAACTCTATATTCATAATTATAGAACTCTATGTTCATAACTCTATATTCATAATTATAAAACTCAATATTCATAATTTTTGAACTCTATATTCACAATTATGATAGTTTTAGAATCGTGTCCACCTTACAAGGTGGACACGACTCCACGGCATAATTCCAAAAATTATGTTGTGCATCCGTATGCACCATGCATGGTGCATACGGATGCAAAAACGACGTCGTTTTAATAAAACGCGCATCTCCCCTTAAAAAAAAAAATCAGGTTCGATTCCCAGCAACAACATATGAACTAAAATTCCATAATCGATGAACTATAATTCCATAATCTAATCTATGAACTAAAAATTCTAGAATGAATGAACTAAAATTCCATAATCTATAAACTAAAATTTCAGAATCGATGAACTACAATTCCATAATCGATGAACTATAATTCCATAATCAATGAACTATAATTCCATAATCTATGAACTAAAATTCCAGAATGAATGAACAATATAATGTTGTTACTGAGAATCGAATCTGAATTTTTTTTAAAGGGGAGACGCGCGTTTTTTATAAAACGACGTCGTTTTGGCATCCGTATGCACCATGCATGGTGCATACGGATGCATAGCATAACGATTGGCATAATTCGCCCATCTGTTGCTAATTAGGCCAATTGTTCAACCTCACTAGGCTTACTTCTAATTAAGACAATGAGATTACCATATATCTCGAGTCTTGGAGTGAAATATGGGTTTCAAAGTTCTCATGGCACCTTGTGAAAACTGGCTTGCCACCATTCTATCCCTGGCCAGCCGACTAAGCAAATTATTGTGTGGATCACGATTCAAAATATCGTCGTGAATATTATGATTAAAAATAATGTACATTATATATTAGAATAATGTACATTATGTTTTAGAATAATGTATATTACGTAGTAGAATAATGTACATTATGTGTTAAAATAATGTACATTACGTGTTAGCATAATGAAACATTTGGGATAATATATAATGTACATTATTTTTTAAAATAATATACATTATGAGTTATAAAAATGTATATTACAACTAGACGAGCAAAAAAATAAAATTAAGCAAAACAATATCATTTTTGGACCGTGGTTCACACAACTGTGTGGACTGTCTATTGCCCTGACCATGCGCAATCAATGCCACTGCACAAGCCCAACAAAAATAGGTGTCTAATTTTTTTTTTAAATATTTATTTAATAAATATGTACGGTGAACAGTTTGGTGAACGATTTAAATCTAAATATGTACAATGAAATTTACTTTTAAGAAAAATTTTGAATTGTATTTTTTTGTTGTTGAACATTTTATATACTATCTTTTGACGTAAATCTTTTAATAAGTATTATGTTTTTAATTATAGTGTTTCAACAACTCAGTTTGTATTTGGTCTTGTCTCGTTTAGTCCAATGTTCATTGCCAAGCTTAAAGTCTAAAATTTTTAGTTCATTTCAATGTCCAACAAAAATAATATAGTTAGCCTCCAATGGGCCACCATGTTCTACCACTAGCCGAACAAGATCGAGTTCCTTCCCATTCTTGGGCTACCATGTCCCCTATCGCAAATTATGCTGTGCAACCGTGTGCACCATGCAAAACGATAATGTTTTATTATGATAAAGTAACGGTGCCATTAGTGAGAGGGAGGTTATGGACTTGTTTATAAGGTAGCAATACTACTCGTATTTTTATCCAAAATTATACTTATCACCTTAATTTCTGCAATCTAAAAATACTTTTTCAAGGGTGTTCTGGATGATGAAAGGAAATAGCTGTGAAACGGTTTTCAAAAACATCTAAGCAAGGGCTTGGAGAATTTAAAAATTAAGTCAATTCCATTGCAAGGCTTCAACATAGGAATCTAGTGAAGCTTCTAGGATGGTGAATTCAAGGAGATGAAAAGATGTTGATCTATGAATATATATGCCAAACAAAAGTCTTGACTCATATATATTTGGTATGATATTCCCATCTAAATTTTAATAAACTCTATAATTATGTTTGATCACTTAATCAATGTCAATTTGGATTTTAAAATTTTGCTTGAGAGCATTCTTTTAAGCAAGAAAATGTGTGCTTGGAATTGAAAGTTTCCTTCTTGGATTTTTTTTTTGTAGAAGAATATACCTAACTAAATTGTATTAATATCTTGGGCAGATAATAGAAGAAGTGAATTACTTGATTGGCCACAACGTTTCAACATTATCAATGGCCTTGCAAGAGGGCTTATGTATTTGCACCAAGATTCTCGATTAAAAATTATTCATAGAGATCTCAAAACTAGCAACATTTTGTTAGATATTGATATGAATCCAAAAATATCAGACTTTGACTTGGCGAGGAGCATTGAATTAAACGAGATAGGAGCAAATACAAACCGAGTTGCTGGAACACTGTAAGGTTTCAATTTCATTTTGCATTCATTTGTTTGCATTTTTATCATTGAACCTAACAAATTAAATTTTCAAATCCAGTGGTTATATGTATCCTGAGTATGCAGGACACGGAATTTTCTCTATTAAGTCAGATGTGTTTAGCTTTGGTGTCTTGGTATTAGAAATTGTGAGTGGGAAAAGAAATAGGGGATTTTCTCGTCATCAAGATCACTATGAGAACCTTCTTGGCCATGTATGTCTATTTTGTAAACATATTTATTTATTCATTAAGGTTTGAATTGAAGTCTTGATGTACTAATTCATCTTTATGACAGGCATGGAAGTTTTATAGAGATGGTAGACCAATTGAACTTGTAGAAGATCATCTGGCTGAACCACAAGATTTGCCTCAACTTCTAAGATCAATCCAAGTTGGCTTGCTATGCGTTCAACACTGCCCTGAAGATAGGCCAAACATGTCTTCCATTGTTCATATGTTGGCTAATGATGTTCAATTACCCATTCCTAAAGAGCCAGGTTTCTTCACAGAGAAAAGGGCAATTGAGCGCAATTCTTCAGACACAGAAAAATCATGTTCCATAAATGAACTCACCATCTCAGTGCTCAATCCTCGTTAAAAACGATGGCTTTATAATTGTCACTACTGGAAATTATGAAATTTCTGACCACCTGAAAGTGATCTTAAATCAAGTCATAAGCAAAAAATGGTCGGAAATAGCAATAAAGGTTTTTTCAGATACCAAAAGTGTTCGGAACAAGGCTTTTGACTTGATTTAAGATCACTTTCAGGTGGTCGAAAATTCCATAATTTCCAGCCGTGTGTATTTTTACTTTAATTTGCCTTGGGTTTGTATTTCTTTTTCCAAGTTTTATAGGATTAAAGTCTGAATTGCAAAGTACCAAGTGGCTTGTAGTCCACTGGTATCGGGTTGCTCCCCTAAGTGAGAGGTGTAAGGTTTGAACCTCAATTGAGGCAAATAGTGTGTATATAATATTATTCCCCTTATAATAAAAGAAAAGTCTGAATTGCAAAGTGTCGAAATTCTGTTGCAAATCATGATTTGTAATGGGATGCATACTTTTGATAAAATACTCGTTGTAACTCAATTACAACGGAATTCTAGTTTTGTTTTCAAACTTTGCAATGGATTTTTCAGTTGCAAATTTTGCAACGGATTGAGTTAGCCTTTGATGGTGTGATATATAGGAAACCCCATATTAAGGCTAATTGAGGCTAAATTTTCCTTAAGCACAGAAATATCATATTCTATAAATGAAGTCACCATCTTATTACTCGATCCTCGTTAAAATGAGTACATATATAATTGGATTGTTATTTTTTATTTACCTCAAATTCGTATTTTTTTTAATGAACTTCATAGGGAAAACTTGTGATCGACATTATGTATATATGAAGTTTAACAAAATTTTTATAGTAAAATAACTTCATTGAATATTTATGTTGATTTTCACTATGTAAGACAGATAAGTCAGAGTTTTCAGTAGTTGAGACAAACTAGCTGAAGGTGATGAATCTTTGTCTTGAACAAGCAGCTTGAAGAGAAAAATAGAAAAGCCATAGAGGCCCCCTTGTGCAGCTCGGTTGGTCCGTGGTAAATTATGGGCAAGGATACAAATCGAGCCCTGACGCTATAGTGTTGGAGTTACACCCAATGTGTGATGGGTTCCTTGTGGGCACCAGACACTGAATCCCCACTTAATAGGCTTATGAGTCACCATGAAAGCCCATATTTCCTGGGGATTCTCTAGAGCATCAGCAAACAGGATTAAAAAAGTATACAAACCATTAATTAAATAATCATAGTGTCAACTAATCTGCACAATATTGACTTCTCTCTATAGTTAGAAGGTTTTAAGCACATTTTCTTCAAGGAAAAAGAAAATCTATAAACAGCAAACATTTCATTTAATGTGGTTGGTGCCACTAGCTATTTGTTGACCTACTTTGAAAAGTCTACCAAAACTACAAGCACCACAACTGTGTAAAAATTCCATTTAATGTGGTACGGTGCGCAGGAGTGGCCTGTTTGCTGAAATTTCTGTACTCAGAAATACAAGTGAGGTTATGACAAATTGTCAGGGTTTTTTAATAGATACCTCAAATTTACTCAAGTTTTACTACATGGACTCCCAAAATTCTACTCCCTCATTTATACTCCCTGAGGTGGCAAATCAGGATTGGTTATTTTCATCATGTGGGTCCACAGAAAAATATCTACATCAAGAACATGTGAGAGGGAGTACAAGTTGGGAGTTTAAAATGAGAATACACCAAGTATTTTCCAATTTACTCACCAAGCTCTGGATGGGAGTGTATAATTATTGTATATATGGGCAGATGGAATAGTTTCCTTAACAATTTTGCTTAGAGATTAGGAGCATGGGGAAAGGTGTCTTTGAGTTTTGCAGGACGCCCATGAATTGTCAAAATGCTTAACCCAAGAGTAGAGCTCATCCTGCATGCCAAACAATTAGTCCAATAGGTGGGAAGAGTGGCAATATTTAGGGAAATAAATCAATGTTTGAAACTCCGTGGTGGCAGTAGTGATTAGGTCTTAAGTGCGCTAATCTCTTGTACGCACCAGCATTTAGTCATGACTGCTAAGTTACTGAGTTACCATGATTTACATCTTGACTTTATTGATTGGTTCTAATTAATGCCCCTCTATAATATGTCAATTATCAATATCACCCCTGAATTATGAGTGGTGTAAATGTTGCCCCTCAATTATCAAAACGGTGCACATATAGCCCCTTCCGTAACGGACATGTGGTTCCCTGTTAGTGTACGACACCGTTAAGTCGGAGTAAATATGTAATTTAGTTGTTTTTTCCCTCCCTCGATTCGAAGTACCAATGATGAACAACGGTGGGGAACCACAGGTCCGTTACGGGAGGGGCTATATATGCATGATAATTGAGGGGCAATATTTACATCACTTATAATTCAGGGGTGACATTGATAATTGACATATTATAGAGGGGCATTTTTTACAATTTTCCCTAAATTTAATAATAGTAAGCTTCCACATATATATCAACAAGTACGATAGGGGAACCGATTAACATGACTAAGTCTACAAAACAAAGGGACCAACACTCCCATCCAACAACACCAAGACTAAACGACTCACCATGATAACAACAAGACAACGCCAAACCATCAAAATCATGAGCAAAAAGCCACAATCCCCTACCCAACTGAGTCTACTTTAATTTGACCGGTCCCAGGACATAAAAGTTTAAAGTTGTTTGATTAAGCTTGCTTTCTTGTACTATTGCCTATTCCTTTGAAAAGTCAAAACTAAAAGCACCACGACTCTAAAAAATGAAAAATCCAATTTAATGTGGTGCTCTGGAGTGGATTATTGGTCTGAGGATAGGATGACAAGTTGTCAGGGTTTTAATAGCTCAATGGTCCTGACGCTGTTGGACTGTACAATTGTATATATGGGTAGATGGAACAGTACAATTTCCCTTTACAATGGCATGTCAAGTAAGTAGCACTAACTTTCCCACTTGCCGGCAATTGCACGGACTCATTGCACTACTACAAAAATGAGATTTCACGTCGAAGATATTAGGTCTGTAAAAAAACCTTTTAATTTATTTCTCCATTCTCAGCATCTTCCAGCACCTGTCAGCTTTAACTGTCCATCAAAAAGTTATAGCTAATAACGAATAGGGGAAATCGCACTTTTGGTCCCTCAATTATTCTACCGTTAGTCAATTTAGTCCTTATGTGAATGATGTTAAAAGGATTAACTCACAGAAGGACTAAATTGACTAACAGTGGAATAATTGAGGGACTAATACAGTCCAAATTGGAAAGTGAGGATCACATTGCATATGAGCACCAATTGAGGGACCAAAAGTGTAATTTCTCCAAATTATATATATAACTAATGTAAATTTTATTTAGGGAAAATCGCACTTTTGGTCCCTCAATTAGTGCTCCGTATGCAATGTGATCCTCACTTTCCAATTTGGATAGAATTGGCCCCTCAATTATTCCACCGTTAGTCAATTTAGTCCTTCTGTGAACGGTGTTAGACGGATTAACTCACAGAAGGACTAAATTGACTAACAGTGGAATAATTGAGGGACCAATTCTGTCCAAATTGAGCGTGAGGGTCACATTGCATTTTGGGCACTAATTGGGGAACCAAAAGTGCGATTTCCCCTAGCGAATAAATAACTTTATTTCTTTATAAATTGGCCATCACATTTTCCAAGGACAGAGTGCTGAACTTTGCCCTTCATCATCAGCCTCCGCCCAATAATCCTTAACTAGGACTTAGCCCTTTACTGTCCTCCACACACCAATCCATAGCTAACTAATGGACTTAACCCTTTACTGTCCTCCGCCCAACATAGTACGGACTAGGCCACAGGTGATCCAATTAACTTCTCTCAATCTATAAAAAATAAATTTTCCTCTATAAACAGCAAACATTTCATTCAAGAAACAGATAGTCCGGGTGTCAAAATGACAACTCTTTTCCTGCATTTTCTGTTCTCCCTCTTCTTGCTTTCCATGCACAGAATTGCCCATGCAAGGGATACACTCGCTTCCACTGAATTCCTCAAGGATGGCGACACCATCATTTCATCCGGTGGGAGCTTTGCTATGGGGTTTCTCAGCGTCCCTACTGGTTCCATAAACCGATACGTCGGTATATGGTACAACAAAATTCCTGTTCAAACAGTGATATGGATTGCCAACAGAGAAACTGCCCTCACTAACACAACATCCACTGTATTGAAGCTCGTTCGGCCTGGGCGATTAGTTCTCACTGATGCCAAGAATGATATTATATGGTCCACTAATGCTTCAAGATCAGCCAAGAACCCGATCATGCAACTGTTGGATTCAGGGAATCTTGTGGTGAGAGATAGAGAAGACGAAAACCCGGAGAATTTCCTGTGGCAAAGTTTTGATTACCCAACTGATACTTTTTCTCCAGGAGTGAAGCTTGGGTGGAATTTAGTGACAGGCCACGAGGTATATGTCACGGCAAGGAAGAGTGAAAACGATCCAGCTTCAGGGCCATTCACATTTCGTTTTGATCCAACTGGTTACCCACAAATACTAATCAAGAATGGTTCGAAAACAACGTACACTACAGGATGCTGGAATGGTGTGCGGTTTAGTGGAACCTCTGAGAAATCCCCAGATTATTCTCATTACAACTACCAAGTGCACATTAATCCCAGGGAAATCTCTGGCAAATATGAAATCACTAACCACTCGGTTTTGGCCAAGGCAGTTTTGACTAGCTCGGGTGATCTCCAATTCTCCGCATGGATGAATGAGGCCCAAAGCTGGGTCAATATCATTAAAGTTCCTAGGGATGTCTGCGACAGATATGCGATATGTGGGGCAAATGGAATCTGTAACGCCACAGATTCCCCAGTTTGTGGATGCTTTGAAAAGTTTACGAAGAATAATAGAGGGGGATTGGAGTACTGGTCCAATGGTTGTGGTAGGAGGAAACCTCTGAAATGCAAGAATGGAACAGAAGGGTTCAAGAAGTATTCGGGTATAAAATGGCCGGACACGAAACATTCTTGGTTTAACACGACCATGAACCTTACACAGTGTGAG